GAGCCCGGTGGGCGGGGCCTAGGGGAGTGGGCGGGGCTACCTGGAGGGGATGGGAACTCGGCTTCCAGCCGCGTGGAGGCTGGTTCGGCCCCGGAACCCTCGTCGGAGCTGGGGTACCTCGTGTCCACGTCGGCTCTTTGCTGGCCGGCGCTTCGGATGCACGGTTCTGCCGGAGCCTCGATCCTAGGGAGCAGGTAACAAACAACTGAGGACTCGGGGGGGATGGGGATGGGGAGGGAGGAAAGGCGCTCACCGGGCACGTGGAGGAGGTGGGGAAAGGCAGGGGTGGAGGCTGATGAAAGCGCCTCTGGGTTGAGGGTTGTTGAGAGATAGCTTTACCTCTCACCCCTTCGAAATCTTTTAAAATCGTCTCTTCCTGGGACTGTTTGCCATGAGTGAGAGAGGAATTTATGCTCTGACTGATGGTAGGTTTTCAAATCCGATGACTATGCGATTGATTCAGGCACGAATCATTGCCGCAGACTTTTCTTCACTGTAGGCATTTTATCCTGTATCTTGGGGAAAGGGGTTGTTGATAAGGGTTTTCTTCTCTTCCAAAAATAAATAAATAGATAGATAAATAAATAATTCTTCCCTCGCCCTCCTCTTTTTGTTTTGTTCCTGAGAACTTGACTAACCTCCAGAGTCAGCCAGGGAAAATTGGAGACCCATGAGACAGCATTATAAGAGATAATTATGAAAACCCTTATTGTGGCATCTACTAATAAGCCTTCATATAAGGATAGGTGTGCTCTTCTTCCCTATCCTCCTAAAGCTTTTGGTGGGGATGCAGCCTTTTTTTAGTGTTTTCCTAACCTAGTTGGAATTTTTCCGCTCTGTTCAGGGCTATCCTATGTGCAAGTCCCTGAGCTAGATGTGTGAAGAAAGTCATGATCTGGATTCTCAAGAATTTGAGGGAAGGCAGTGTGTGTGTGTGTGTGTGGGGGGGGTGGGGGGTAAATTCTCTCCTGTTAATACAGTTGAAGAAACAAACAAAAAACATAAGTGAAACTCCTTCCCTTTGGAAAAGGCCCATTTCCCAAAAGGGGCATGTCTATATTTCTTCCAGAATTAAGTTGTGTACCAATATGTATCACCTCAAATTTTAAAAATGCAGGAGG